CCAGACTCCAACCCGCTGAAAGAATGTGTATGGCTGTGGGTTTCGGAGTCCAGGGTTCAGCTCTTCATATCCCTTCTTTCCAGCTTGAAATTCACCTTGCTTTCTCATTGCTTTCCAAACAAGCATGGACCTGGTGAAAAAACCTTTCCCTTATCAGGCGACACCCAAGTTAGACGGCAGTTTTGACTTCCTCCCATGTGTGACCCAGCAAGTTGTCTCACTAGGCAGTCTTATTTACTGTTGGGGTAACCTGAAAAACCAAGAGACAAGTGTGCTAAAGTTATGATTTGCAAAACAGCATGCAATGTAAAAATGGTGACAAAATGCGTCAGCAAAATGTAGGGGGGTTTATCTGAATATTATAATTCCTAATAATAACTTGTGGACAAACCTCAACTTCTTAAAGTCAGAATGAGCAAAATATTATTTTAATCTCTCCCGTTATCTCACTATTATCCCATCACCATGGCTGGTTTCTGCATGAAGTCATGACATCTTTAGATGCTGCACAATTTAAGGGCAGGATGGAGAGTGGAGGGTGTTTCTTTCTTAAGATTCTGTCCTGAAACCCTATCTTAATTTGCACAAGAGATCCAGGTGGAAACACCTGTTTTCTTGATGGGTTTGTTGGGGGAAGACCTGGCTCTTAACTCTAGAATATCTGGGTTATAGAATGTGGCCAATTAGTTGCCTTAGAAAAAAGCATGAAGATAAATTGAGAAGTTAGTAGAAGAGGAGGCAGTGGGTTCAGTGTGGAAGTTACTACCTTCTCTGGGCACTGCTCCCCATAAACACGCATAGGTCTGGCACTTGTCTGTTTTCTGGATTTCTTTGAGTCTCCATGATGATAAATAGCTGGAAAGAAAGTAAAGAATTAGGCCAACCAGCCAGGTGTTTTGACTGGATATTCCAGACATTTCAACAAATATTTATTGAGTGGTTCTTACAAACAACACTGAGTGGTAAAGGCATTTGGAGACACCAAGGTGAATAAGATCTATTTTCTGCTCTTAAGAAGTTTTTGACAGGTCTGGCTATGTGAAACATCCAGGAGAATTTGGCCACATCTGGAATTTTTAGTGGATTCAATGGGTGCAAAATGATGGCTGAACAGGACATGTGCGTAAAGGGGATGTTCATGAGTCAGCAAGGTAATTTGTCCAGCCTGTTTCTTCCAAAAACTGTCTGTTGTGTAGCGGAAGTCGATTATACATTCCCACAGGGGTTTGCAACTTTGCAGATTACCACATTTCTAATGCTGGGACAAGACTAGACTATGTTCTAATGAAGGGCCTGGGTGTGTATCATAATTGCATTATGATTAAGGGAACTGTGTAATCAATCATCCCTAACTAGGCCTTTTAAAAAAATATATATTATTTTTTTTTCAATTCCAGTAATACTGGTTTAAAACATAGCTGTTTAGGGTGTGCAGCATTATATTTTAACAGCTGTATGTACTGCATTATGATTATCACCCAAAATGTAGTTTCCACCCAACACCATATAAATCGCCTTTACCCAATTCATCTACTTCCCTTTTCCTTCACTATCTGATAACCAACATTTTGTTTTTATAACCTGAGAGTTTGTTTTGTTTGTTCATTTTTTAGTTTCTTTATCTTCCAGATGTCAGTGAAATCATGCAGTATTTGTATTTATCCATTTGACTTATTTCACTTAGCATAAGAACCTCCATATTATTGCAAATCCCAAAATTTCATCTTTTTAAACAGCTCAGTAGTATTCCATTGTGCATATATACCACATCTTTTTTATACAATCATCTGTCAATGGCACTTAGGTTGTTACCAGCTCTTGGCTATTGAAAATGCTGCAATGAACATAACAGTGCATAACATCACTTTGAATTAGTGTTTCCGTTTAGTTGGATCAGATGGGATTTCTTCTCTTATGTTTTGAGGGATATCCATTTCATATTGGCTGCACAAGACTGAATTCCCATCAGCAGTGTACAAGGGTTCATTTTCTCCATCCAACACTTGTTTCTTGACTTTTTGATATAAGTAATTCTCACAAGTATGAAATGATATCTCATTGTGATATTGACTTGTATTTACCTAATGACAAGTTATAATTGCCATCTGTATATTTTCCTTGGCGAAATATCTATTCAGATCCTCAGCTCATTTAAGTTTTTTTGTTGTTTTTTTTAATGCATTTTGGCTATTAAGCCCTGCCATATGAGTGAATATGTGAATATCTTCTCACATTAATATGTTTCCTTTTCAATTTTATGACAATTTCTTTTTCTCTGCAGAAGCTTTTTCATTCTAAGACTTCTCATTTGATTACATGATGAGTTTATCACCTATTTTTTTCTATGTATTTTAAAAACATTTTTTATTGAGGCAACATTGGCTCATAACATAAATTTCAGGTGTGCAATTTATGTTGTCTTTAGTACATTTTGAGTTACTTTTGGTGTGTGGTGTAAGAGCATAGTTTAGATTTATATTTTTGCATGTAGTTGTCTAGTTTTCTTGGCACTATTTTTCAAAGAGAATTTTCTTTCTTAATGCTTTCTTTAAATGCTCTTGGCTCTTTGGTTATAATTAGTTGCCCATATATATGTGTGGGCTTTGTTTCTGGATTCTCAGTTCCTTTCATTGATCCATAGGTTTTCATTCTAATGCCATGGTGTTTTGATCATTATAGCTTTGTAATGTAGCTGGAAGTTAGGGAGTAACTAATTTGAAGTGTGATTGGAAGCTATGGTAATTATACTGGGATAACAGGAGTAAACTTGGATGTCCTGAGCAAAGATATGTATGGCCACTCTAGCTATAGCTGAGACAAACCTAGGATGAAGCATTTTTAGTACCTGTGATAGGGGTAAGGATGCGTTCCTGATGTTACCTAGTGTGCTAGCTCCAGAGATAAGGAATTCAAATTAAAATAATATGGAAATGCAACTTTAATGATCATATTCTCAAAATTTATTTTGCCATACCCTTCTTAACTACTGTACCATTAACCCAAATTGTCATTTCTGCTCAGACACAGTTGCCCAGTTAAGGATTAGGTCTGATATAATTTGGATCATCTACTTACAAATAATATAGAGATACCAGATTAATTACATCTTCAAAGTTAAATGCAAATGGATCATATTTTCTGTTTACTACAAAAGAATGCCTGGAACAAAATTCAGAAATATTTCTAGTGATAGCATGAAAAGATAATTAAGAGAGCATCTCTTTAATTTTTCTTTGATATTAAAGAATCAGATTTAAAATATTTTATTAACAACATCTTTTCTAATTCACTTTGTTTGTAGATTTTGCAATGGAAGTGCTTTAGGAATCAGAGATTTCTTTCTTGATTATTTTATTTTCTCATGAATTACACTAAGCTTAGTAAAAGCATGCTGCTTGGCACATAGTAAGAACTCAATAAATGCTAAATAAATAGTGAGTAAATTAATTATGTTGGTTAAAGCAAAGTAAAATCAGTCATCTCATTTCCTTTTCAAATTATTTAGGGATTTTCAAAATTCCTTAAGAAATTATCCCCTAGCAGAAATACTACTTTCTGTCTGTGAGCCATTTTTAAGTCACTTACCTGCATTTCTGTGCTTGATGTTTGTGTGTGTGTGTGTGTGTGTGTGTGTGTGTGTGTGTGGTGGTGTGTAATTAACTGTCTGCTGAAGCTTAAAGCATAAGAAGTTACCAGAGCACAGCATTAAAAATTCAACACTTTTCTACATTCCTTGTAGGAATTCAACCCGATGCTTATATTTCATAATCTGTATATTCTATGTGGGTAAATCCATCTTACTGTCATCTCCTGTCTTTCATGGGCTGCGGTTATAACTGCATAAGTGGCTCTATCTACTGTGCCTACCATAGTATCAGACAGAATTCAACAGCAGTGTGATTATGTTTAAATAATGATGACAGTGAGGAAGTAGAATCTTCATTTGGGTATATTTTGTAAATAGACGCTCATGGAAAAGGACCCAGCATTTTGGACTATGTTTTCATCCAAAATCCTTAAAAGCAATATAAAATGCAGATTGCTCGGTCCATGGACATTTTTATGTTAATTTGCTATTTGTTAGGAACTGTGGTTTAATAAATCCATCTATCTTTCCCCTTGTATTTAAGATAAAATACAGAGATGCTATGAAATATCTCAGCCATGTGAGAAACGAATTCGTAGATCGTATTTGGAAGGTTTGTGAAGAGTAACTGGCAAACTGTGGATACTGCACACTGTTCACATTTTATGCTTTAACCCAAACAAAATTAATAGATCACTTGGGTTTTGGAAAGATTGCTCCTGGACCAGCAGTGTATTTCTGAATGACATAAATATAAGAAAATTAGAAATTAACTTTAAATGGATTTAGGCTTCTTACATAAATGAGAGCCACCCTAACACAAATTACTAAATCTATTCAGAGTAATTTATCAAGCAGTTATATGTTGTTTTGCTGTGTGGAAATTCCAGAAAATTTAATAACAACATTCTTTCTGGAAATTGCATTAGCATAGACCATTAATAAGTTAGACCTGTGGAGCTCGTGTGGGTGCATAACGTTGCCATTAGCAATGTATAGTCAAGTGGAAACTGGTTATCACTAGAGCACATCTATGGCAAGGCTGAAAGACAAGGTTTTCCAAGAGCTTTCAGTATCATCTGAAATAAGCACTTACAAAGTTGTACTATGGTATTTAGCAGTTAACATGAGCCAACAGTGGTGAGATAAGTGGTCCCAAATGAAATGAATATATGTGGAGCCAATTGTAGAATTTTACAGCCAGAAGAGCTCTTATCATTTAACTACTCCAAACCCCAGATAAACAGGTTCAGAGAGGTCAAGTGACTTGCTCAAAGTCACACAGCTAGAATGTGGCAGGGCCAGGATGAAACCTTGGGTCTCCAGACTCTCAGCAGAATGCTCTGCTCACTATATCACACATTGTAGAAATTTAAAATGCTGGGTTAATACTACTCGCAAATAAGCAGGGCTCTGGCAGCTGATGGATAAATTTGGCTGGTGCAAACAATTAAGCAGAATAACTGCAAAGCTGCAAAAAGTACGAAGATTTATTTTATGTTTAATATGGGTTTTGGAAGAGAGGTTTCTAGCTGGTCAAATTCAAATAATTGCGAACTCTTTGCAAAAGGTTGCTTTACTTTTAGAGAACCATAACAGAAGGATTCAGAAATGTGATTCCTGCTCAAAACCTATTGTCAACATTCCACAATGGTGGCAAAAGTATTTCTCACAGCCCGGTTACTCTGGTCCCTTCAACATAATGAGGGACCACAATTAATTACTCAAAGTGCAAGGAAAGAGGACATTTGGGCTACAACCCCAGGCATTTCTCTCTTGCTCGGGGATTTTCCAATTGTTTTAGACACATCATACTTGGAAAACAAAGACAGCAGATCATTAAAAATTAAACCTAGGTGCATGTGTAAGCCACCTCTTAGGTTGGTGAAGGGGAGCAGAGCAAGTGGAGACTTCCAGCTATGTTCCAAGTTAATGAGGGGTCTTCACCCTCTTTGCCCTATGACCTTGCTGGCACCTCTGCTGTTCTCCTCTGTGCTGCTGCCCTAGAAATCGGTGGCTCAACTGTATTTGCAATTACAATGGTCTGAGTAGAGCATTAAAAAGGCTAGGTCAACAGATAGCCACATGCTTCAGGTCTCAATGGCAGCTATTAGCAGTTTTGCTGGAAACCCCAATATCATTTCAGCAGTGGAGAGGACTTTACAAGGTGGCAACCGTAGCGTCAAGAAATTAAAAAAAGATAAAGAACTTGGCTTGGAGTGTTCTGACAATGGCAGGTGTGAGGAAAGATTATTTCTTTCCTTCCACA